GTTATATGTACAAATTCTTCTGCAGTACCTCCTATTCTTTTCCTTTAAATAAGAAATTTGTTTACCAGTTTCTGGAATTTTATTTGCTTTATTTCCCATTTCATTACTTTGTTTATGTACAATCACATAGTCATCTTGCACCCCCTTTGAAAATTTGGTGCTACTTTGGTAGACGGTTCCACGGATTTTTGGCGATTTACGTTGGTGCGATTTCTACAAACGTCAGCCATCTTGAAAAACGCTGTTTTTACGCATAGTGAAGTATTCGAACTTAAAAATAAATAAATAAATAAATATCGTTAGAAATAATGGATTAATTTTTTTGTTGAAAATGTCGTTTTTTAAGATGGCAGGCAAGTGTAAATAAATACATTTACTATGAGTATAAAATACTAAAGTAAGGTTATTATTACTTTTCATATAGCAAGAAGAGAATAAAAACACCGCTATAAAAACATTGTGCCAACGTTTAATTAGATTAAAAATTACTGAAATTGAATATCGAAATAAAAAACATCATCCAACATTAAAAGAATTAGAATATTATTAAATTTAAATACTTTAAAATACGTTATATAGAATATAATTATATATTATATAGAATAAATACATTTACTATGAGTATAAATACTAAAGAAAGGTTAAATTATTACTTCACATAGCAGAGAAATAGAATAAAAAACCACTATAAAAACATTGCGCCAAACGTTTAATTGGATTAAAATATTACGTAAATTGATATCGAATTAAAAAACCATCATACCAACGTTTAAAAGAATTAAAATATTACTTAAATTAAATACTTTAAAATAAGTAAATAAGAACGCTTCGTACACTAGAGCTAAAATGACAGCAATTAGTTTATTGTTGGTAAAAAAGGAGGAATGTCTAATAACTTCTTACCGTTACAGCGCTTATTTCTTCCAACATGACCACAATATCATATATGGCCGTCTCAGAATCGGCTCTTCTAACGGTCTTTATCTGTGATCTACATTTTCGCACTTCACTGAAGAAACAATTAGCGACGTTTCCTTCAAAAATTTAAAATAAATTTCCTCTGACCTTGTAAGATTTTAAATAAATCTTTGATTAGGAAAGCCAAGCTGGCGAAATAAAGATCTCAAAGGACAATTTTTGATTCCGAAACCAAAAATTCTTGGTACTTATCAAAACAACATTCATCTTTGAAGGAGACATTTTGAAGGAATTCGAAGATATGATATGAATTTTTAAAATGGCGCGGGTAATGCACAAATTTTCAGCAACCTATCAGGGAGCTGATTACAGCTCATTAATGCACAAATATTCTATAACCAATCAGAGAGCTGATTACATCACGCCTAGAATTAAAATTATTTAAATAATCATACATAATCATTTTAAAAAAGAAATGCAAAATTAAATTGTATTTTAATATTTAACAGCCATAATAAATGTTTTAAAACATTAGATTAAATTTATAGATATTAAAACCAATTACTTTTAAGTAAGGTGACGTCACTGATTACATCATCCACAGCATAAAATTTCATAAAATATGAAAAAGAATAAAATTTTTATTTCAAATAAAAAATGCAAATTAAATTGATTTTTAATATTTAGAAGCCATAAATAATATTTAAAACATGGAATTTATGCATAATAACACGCATTATTTTTTAAATAAAATGTCAACAAAGTATTGGTTACCATAAATAACTTATCCAGCAATGGGTTTACCATAAGTCGTATTACTCGCCAAAAGAAAAATTGCCAAAAACTCGCCAAAATCCGTGCAACCGTCTGCCAAAGTAGCACCGAAAATTTACTTAATTTGTTTTTCTGAAATGTTTTCTTTAAACTTTGGCTATTAACATAGGTGCAATCTATACTGAGTAAACACACTATGTAAACAAAACGTTCTACATAGACTAGAGATTTACGATGCATAAATATATTTATTATAATCTCATAAGCAATATATATGATTGCCCCTGTCTCTCTAATCCATTTACGTATTGTAAAAATATTTTATATATAAAATATGTGCTTGTAAATACAGCATGCACACAAATAATGCTTCTAAAATGTGTTTATGAAAAAGACTTCTAAATTCTTTATTTGCAGTCAGTTTAATCTGAGAATACTGGATGTACTAGAAAGCATATCATCAGCCAAAAAAATATAACTGCATTCATTTCTGCTAGTGGTATTTTGAAAATTAGACAATGAAATATAAATACTGTTTATAAAAACAACTGAACACAGAAGAAAGCTTAAGAACAATATCTGATTTCTTAATTTCTATTTGTGATAATTAGAAGGGATTTCCTGTTCAACATATTTCAAGAACCTGAAAACTGCAATAACCGGTAGTGTAACTCTAGCTGTTGGATACAGGTTATGCCGTTGGTTACTAAAGAAAAAAAAAAAAAAAAATTCAGGGTTCTTAATATATGCTATATTATACAACATTCAAACAAAGAAAAGAATAAGTGAAAATGATTTTTTGAATAAGGATGATTTTTGTCAGAGTTGGATTAATTATTAAGCAATTTAAATACATGTTTCTAGGACTCCAAGGGGAAAAAATAACAGAAATTTTCTGCTAAAAAACTAGAAGTTAAAATTTGTCTCCCCTTTTTTGGCCTACTTAAGTCAATAAAGTGCAAGAAATATGAAAACTGGGGCCTTGGTTGTGTCCTAAAATACAGTATTAAGTTTTGTTTCTTTGGAACCAGTTTACAGAGGCAGTAAGTTCTTTTGGAGCAAGAAATGTGCAAAATCAATTCTGCGGGATTCAGTGCTAGTTAGATGTGCTATGAGTTACACCACAAAAGCAAGAACTTGAAGCAATGAAATAAATAATTCCTTGTTTCAACAAACTTTCTACTGGTTAAAAATAAATAAATCTATATAGAAAAGAAGCATACCATGTAAAATACAGAACTATGGAAAGGAGCTCTCGACTGATGGACAATATATATAAATTTGTAATTTGTTAGTGATTAGCAGTCAGATAACCCAGTAAAAAAAAGGGGGGGAGCAATGCACCATAATTTACTGAAATAAAAAATATAAATAATTAAAAAACTGTAAAAAATAATTATTAATTCTTACAATATGCATTTATAAACTTAAAAGGTACATTTATAGGGGAACCTTTCACCATAACCTTAAAAACATACATTTATATTGGAATCTTCATGTGTAAAATTCTTTAAATATGCAATTTTTATAACATTATTACATGCTACAGTTTTTTCTGCTCTCTTTTTAATTTCTGTTGTTTTCTACTTCTCCTTTTCTTATGTTATTTAATTTTTTTATAATTAAGGCAATACTGTATCTGACTCATGTTACTGTTAAAATTAAAGTCTAAAAAATCAATATAAATTTTAAAAAAAAAAAAAAAAAAAACCTCATTTATTAAATTTTGAGTTTCTTTCTTTCATTTCTTTAGAATAATTTTTGTAATTCCTGGACATGCATTTTTTCAGTGCTTAACATTGACAAGACTGAATAACATCAATTATACTTTTAAGACTAGTCATCACCCACATGTTTCTCAGAGAAAAGTGGAAACATGCCCCCTTCTTTTCATACTGAGCTCTTTATCAGGAATGAGATAGGACACTTAAGGGCCATTCCCACTGGGGTTTATCTGAGCTAACAGAGTCAGTTCCATGTGTCAGATTTTTCAACTTGCTGCCCTATGGGAAAAAAACTGGTTTTGGAGATGGGTTGGCTACTTCAGTTGTATTCATTAGCTCAGATAAACCCCAGTGGGAATGGCCCTTTAGGGTTCTCTAAGGCTTCATATCCCCATGTTGTTGGCCTACGTTTCATACCCTTATTTATGGTGCTGGCTGTAACCTCAAACTCTTTCCTATTCTTCCAAATATTAACATATTCCAAGTCAGAAGAAAGGACAGCAGTTGTTACTGGATGCCTACCCAACAGGGAATTGCCAATAGCCATGTCTTTGTGGTCTTGGTGATTAGCAATTTTAATTTCCAGAGTGTAACCCTCTCAGCATAATGGGTTTAGACCAGAAATTTCGAAGTTTCCCAGATTGTTTTGGAAAAGTGATATTTTCTTGATTTTACTTGAAATTGACTCTCTCATTTTGTACCTTGACTCCTTTCCTTCCAATCTGAAATCAGATAGATAAGAATCTAGCAAAAATTTTCATGTGTAACGAATGGTAAAGCCATCCATCGATACAGACTTTTATGTCCATAACCCCTGGAGGATTAAAATAGAGAATTATTGTTTCAATGAAAAATTAGGCTTATTTTTATTAATTTTTACTTAGACTTGTTATATAGTGGCACTAGTCCATTGTAATTCACCTTTCATTTCTACCACAAAGTTGAAATGTAATTTGTAATAGGTACTGTGCAAATTTGAAATAAATGCATGAAAAATTATATAATGCAATAACATTCTGCGGGACCACTTTCATATTTGAGGCCCTTGCTACTGCAGGTATTGCAAAGGCCACTAAACTGACCCAGAATTGTTCTCGAAATGATTTTGGTATTTGTCAGGTTTGAGATGACTTCATTTTAAGCAATAAGTTAAGTACTGATAAAATGGATACAATATATGCACCCATCTTAAATTGCATACTAACATAGCCAATATTAATACATTTATAAACATTATATTATTACAAAATTGACAACTTATTTCAAGATCTTTGATGTTTATAATTTTAAAATGAAGTTTATTTTACTTGTTTTGGATATAGCAACATAATTTTTATATTTTATGGGTTTTTATTTTAAACTATAGGTCATAAAGATATAAATTTTTATATATTTTTATCTATTTAGAGCAAGGACTATCATTATGCAATATTTGTGAAACATTCTATATAAATATTTCAATGCTTTTGGCAACACAAGTATTTTATTGACTTCAAGCAAAATTATAAATTATATTTAATAAAAGTCGCAAGGTATTAAAAATAATCAGAATGCATTCACTACAGTTATTTTCACTTTTAATTCAGATAAGCATACTAATTAACTTTTATTTTCTTATAATTAATTAACACATTTTCTTTTCTTTTTAGTATACACATTCATTTATCTCCTTTATGCACGTTAAACCACTGAAAAAATTTCCAGCTTTTAACATAGACAACAAATATCTTTAAAATGAATTTTACTGTTTAATAAGCAAAATAATTCAGTGTCCTAAAAAATAAGCAGATTCAAAATAAAACGGATAAAAAATATAGTACGTGTATCTTTATAAATACAAGCCTATATTTGGATAATTGATACAAAATATAAGTAACAATAACATTTTGAATTTCACCTTAAAGTCCATAAGATATGACTTACAATATGATTAGTTTATACATATAAATTTGAAGCACTAAATTACCCGTTCAGAGCATTTCAGATTTGATACATTTTGCAATAATGCAAAATTCTAACATTCTATTTTATTTATAAAAACAAAATAAACATTGAAAAAAACTTTGTCTTTTTATTCAATATCTTGCCAAATAAATTCATAAATAACAACAAAAATGAAAATATTTTTTTCTTGATGATTTAGAAATGCCAGAATGCGAATCATGAATATGTTGAAAAAGGAGGGGACTTTATAATGGGAAAATGAATAACATAAATATGATTTTAGAAATTTTTTAAACTTTCTTTGAATTAAAATTTTTTCATACAATGAACAGAATATCAGTAAAAATTATAACTTCCTTCTAACTCACATGTTATGCTTAATTAGATGTTACTCGTGCTTCCTGTACTCAAATGGCCTAATATCTTTAGAATAAATTTTATATAATATACTGAATATCTTAAAATAAATTTTACATAATATACTGAATAATTTATATCAAATGCTAATATACATTTAAAATAGAAATTTAAACTTTTTAAACATATAATCAATTTAGTTTAAGCTACAACACAGCCCTCTTTATCCCCTAACACTTTTTAATTTAACTAAGCATTTAAAAGTAATTGGCATTGTTGCTGTATAAAACATATATTGCAGTACATATTTCATGCTTTTACATAAACATCTTTTTACATACCCACAGTAAAAATATCTATGTCTTGTTCAATTTTTTTGTATTTTTAATGGATTAAATATGAAATGAAAATAAGATTTTACATGATATATAATACTATAATAAATACATCATAAAACCAATGATCAGTTTGGCAGATGATTATATACAAGCATTAATAACAGATTTTGAAAATGTACAAAATCACAGAAAAACTCATTTCATAAAATGTAACCGAAAATAAAAATTTCAGCATGAATACAGGTATGAAATACAGATTATTCCATCAAATGTTTAAAATGCTTTCTTAATACATCATATCACACTCTAAAAATCGGTAATTGAAATGTGTTTTATTGATAATAGTTTTATTTACTATACCTATATAATCATAGAATAATTTTGCTAATATTTTGGAATATAAAGATACAGTCATTTTTTTTTTTTCCCAATTGTACACAACATAATAAATGTTTAACTTCATGGAACTTCCTGTAAAATTACATTTAATAAATAAATAAATTAATGAAATTTCAATTATTGCAACATTTTGCTTCAAATTATTTACAGAGACAACCTTTTATTATACAGTAAATATCAAACAAGAAGTAATTGAAATGATTATTTAAGAATATCAATGTAGAATGGAGCATAAAATAAAAATAGTAATGCAAAATTATAGAATATCAGTAGAAATCAGCACCATTTATACCACTCATTTTGTAAACTTGTGATGTGACTCATTCATTCATGACTAAGTTTAGAATCTCCTTCATTAATGAAATGTTTTAATGAACAAAATAAATATCAGTGTATTGTTTGAAGACTTTTCAATAATTTGATTATAAAAATAAAATCCTAGTACAAAATTCAACTACATTGTAATTAAAAACATCACACAGTCATCACATATGGCCCATTTGCTGATAACTCTGTGCCATTATTTTGTAACTGAGTAACCATAGTTTCAAGCTCTCTGAGTCCTTGAGTAGACCTTTCATACTTGTGGGCGACAAGCTTCCGATAAAAATGCACTGCAAACACAACAAATATCACAACAACAGGAATAAGTATAATTGTTGCAGCAGCTGCTGCAGGTACACTATAATCATAAAATTTAACCCAACACAGAATGGCAATTTCAGCCAAAAACAATAAAATTCCAAAAACTGTTGAACATGCCCATGCAGCTTCAATATAACGATGCATTTTTTCATGAGGAGACTCAGAAACAGCTGCTAATCCATGGATACTGGCTACAGCTTCTACATTAGGTAATATACAAGTAGAAATCATTAAAGCTAGAAGATGAACAGCCACTAGTAATGTTGTGCAGATGCTGAAAGCAATCAATAACCCAGTAGGCACCTTATTTGATAACTGCACTTCTACCATTGCTACCTGAAAGACAAAACAACAAGAACAACAACAAAATTTAACATGAACATAAAAAATGTAAATACAATAACATATAACATCAATTTTTATATATATTTTGTCATTCTATATCTAATTTTTCAATGATGTCATTAAAAAAATGTTTTTTTTTTTGAATTTTAAGTAACACATCCACATCAGCACACATTAAAAAAAAAAAAAAAAAAAAAAAAATTTCAAGTTTATGTGACATTAGGAGAGGGAGGAAATCTATAGAGGTAGTGAAAAAGCTGTCTCAATAACTTGGCTTTTTTACTGGTTTAGCATCAATAACTTGAAAGCTTATTATTTATTTTTTCTTTTTCTTTCTTTTTAAAATTTTTAATGTCTATACATTTCATAGCTGTAATTTTATTTAGTAACAATTTAATTTACAATAGTTTTCTTCTTACATTTGGGTAATTTTTCCTTATTACTTCAAGACAAAAAGAGTTTATTAAATTAATTCATTGATTTAATCAATTGTCAGTGCAAAATACTTCTTCACCACTGCATATTAAAACAAGCTCAATGATCTTGCTTAGCTCAAGATGTAGAATGCATCATCATAACGTGGGAAAAAAAAAAAAAAAAATCCAGAATGATAGTAGTAAGGGGGGGGAAAGCACAGAACCTGAAATCACTATGAACATTTGAATTCAAAATGGTTATGTTCATGGTTGTTCAAACATTTATCTGGAAATTACAAAGAACAATTTTTCAGTTGCTATGTAATAAATGCATGTTATACTTACATAAGGGGTAAGTTTAACTTCATAATTTAATATCCTAAATTAAATACTCAAAAAGATTAATATGTGTATGCTATAACGAAAAAGTTAAAAGTATAATTAGTTCATTAAATGTAACAGGATCTAAGGACGATCAAAGATCCATCTAACTTTTTTGTCTTAACTATCAGACATTTAAAGGAATTTAACCCTCTGAGCAGCACGGATTTTTGAACCTGTCATGAAAACCTGTATTTATGCAGCATTTATTAGCTAAATTCATATATTTACTTATTTTAGCCTCTATTTTCATAAACTTACATTAATAAAGAAAGTAAGAAAGCAAAATATCTTAAGTTATAAGATAATACAGTACAAAGTCTGAAATCCGGACGTCCATTATCCGAAATGATCTATAATCTGGACCTCAAAGCCACAAACTTTTTTTTTTTTTTGTATGCTTTACGCATGCGCGTTTAATGTTTACGCATGCACGTTTAGCACGAAAAAACGAAGCAACTTACATTGAAAGAAATGTTTAATAAAGTATACAAATAAATATTAAGCCTTTTTTTTGTAAATTTTGATACCCTTTAGATCATTAATTGCTCTTTATTTCATAAATTATGGTTTCATATTTTTAATTGTATAATTTCTGCATGCCATCTTACCAGATTTAAATTGATGATCTATAATCCGGAATCGCTGAAGTCCCAACAAGTCCAGATTACGGACTTTGTACTGTATATATCAAGTGACAAAAAATCACATGACTCGATAAAGCCTATCATGCTGCTTCAGAAGGTTAAGAGAGATGTTTGAAGTCATATAGGCATTCTTCTAATTTTTTCACCTAAATCTTTGAAATAACAAAGCCTCTTTGATTTATTGATGACTAAAGGGAATAACTTTTACAATATCATCAGCACTATAGCAAATAAGATTATCAGTCTCTGCCATCTGCCCGCTATGACTGGTCTAGTCTTTGAAAGCTAAAGCATTATTCTGGAGGAAGAGGAGATCCAATGTTTATCAACTAATCCAAATGAGGTTATTTTGAAGCTTATGTTTCATTAAAATTTTATTTATGATGACATGATTACTACATGCCTTTCTTCTTTAAATATCTAAAGCAATCTACACTAAAGAGTAAGTTCTTGTCAAAAGTCTGTGTTAAGAATACTGCTTCTTTCTCAATACCTCAAGACTGGAAAATATATTATAGATAAAATTTCTTCAAACCATTGCACTGATAAATTTTCCATCAGTAAACTTCATGCTTTATATTTTGCTTTTTTCCCCTTTCTTGAATGAAACCTCCAGCATCAGAATAAGATGTTTTAATGTCAGCACTGTTCTTCAGAATTCCCTTTGTAGCTATCAAGAGTTTTTAAATGTTATTCCAAAGATCTTAACATATTAGGCATCTCCTTAAGTTTCTTCAGCACTTACATTCCAAATCAAAATTATGATACCCAATTTAAAAGCCTGAACAAAATCACTAAATAGATAGAAAGTTCAGTGAAAATAAACAACTTGCTACTCAATGGTTGTCACTCCTTTTCAGTGATTTTTAAGATAATAAGTCACCTCCTTTGTTAAAGTTAAATATGAGTGAAGAGATGAATCACAAATGAAAATATGCAAAAAGATATTGTAACCTAGATACCTGTAATTTGCACATCAATGAGAATTTAGGGAAGTGTGAAGAGGAAATAAAATGACATTTTCATTACCCCCAGAATGCTACCCATTCGTTTCCTGGACGAAGCCCATAACAAATAACGTTGCCCTGCCTTCCCTAAAACACAAATTGGGACGTGCAACTCAGTACCTTTATAAGATCTTCGCTGCTACAGATAAGGACACTCCTTCTTACCAAAATATTTTCACATGTAGCATTTTTAGAACAATATTCGTCTCACAGACAACTGGTTAGCTGTAATGTTTCATTTCAGAATTCAACTTAGGTTCATTTCTGTGTTGCCTTGAAGATATCAAAGAGTATATGCAGAGAAAATTTTTGGGGTAGGCCTGAGGCTATCTGAGAGGGCTGAAGAAAATTCTATTTCTTGGGTGAATTAGATAAAGATGATTTTGCTGAGGTTGAAAATCACGAATTCACAGATAGCAACAAAGATGGAAATGAGGAATTATCATTTGAGAATAAAGACGAAGAAGAAAAAATCCTGGAAAAACAAACATACCCAGGAAGATGACAATATTAATTTGAAATATGCAGGTAAAAAAGAAAATGCTTGAAAAGTTGAAAAATTCCAAAAAATTTTGTCATGAAAATTCTATTATTTACTCTGGTAAAACTCAGCTCAGTGGTAAAGATAAGCGGTCATCTGTTCTTAAATCAAGCAATATTATTCAATTTATTAAACAACCAAAGGACTGAGCCATAAAAGGGACTGCATACACACTGGATCAGATATGCAACAATAAGTCATGTAGTAGAAAACTCACTGAAGGTCTCTTTTTTTTTTTTTTTTTTTTTCTTTCTTTCTTTTTTTTTTTTTCATTTTGCAGCATGATAAATATCAGTTTAAAGAATGCAAGTGAATATATGTGCATAATATAAAATCTGAAAAAGGCATTATCGAGAAAAAAGTTTGCGATAAAGCTAAGTGAAGATGTTCTTGCTCCATGGATGAAGAAGCCTAACACCATACCAACTTTGCCTTGATCAACAAGAACAATTATAAGAGAGCTGTTGAAATTAGATTTGAACATTCAACCTCTTGAACAATCTGACAGTAAAAAAAGAAAAATCTGTGCATTTTGCCTATTAAGTTTGCACATAATGACTCCCAACTTTCATCAAACATGTTCCAGAATAATGCACAGAGAACATGCTAGTATGTGTAAAGACTGCTTTGGGAATAAATAAATGATACTTTCTTGCTAACTTCCAAAGTCCTTAAATCATCTGCAGGTAGTATACTTCTATTTTAACTAACTTTTAAAATAGGTTTTAAACACACTTACGCACAATTCGTCACGGAGACAGACGGCAACCATTCCCATAAGTTTTTCAAAGGGTAGCATTCTAGGGTTAATATCAAGTTTCTTTAAAAAGATGTGCTCAGTGAGGAATAATGGTAGATAAAAGCAAAATTTGAAAATTTCTGCAACAAATAAATAAGATATACCTATTGTATGCCACATAAATAAGATGTATCTTTTCTTTGTGAAGCATAAAAAAATACAGTCAAAAGTCTTTAATCCGGACATCCATAATTCGGAATGATCTCTAATCTGGACCGCAAAGCTGCAAACTTTCTGCGCAATGCGCGTTTAATGTATAACGGACGGTATAAGCTAAGCTAAAATTATCTAATTATCTATTTCAGTTAATGTTGCAGATTGCGAGTTCCTTAATCTTCGAATTGGATCCGACTTATTATTTTTTGACGACTGTTAGAGCAATTTTATAAAAGTAAGCTTGAACTTTCGATTATGTAAAAAAGAATTTCCGATACTGGAGCTGCCAAAGGATCTACAAAGCGAAAGCATGTTTTGATGTCCATCAAGCAAAAAGTGAAATTGCTGCAAAAAATGGATAAAGGCATATCCTTTGTTTCTCTAACCATTCCGAAATCTGTTTATCAATTTCACGCTGCACTGGGGGGGGGGAGTTGCGTCGCGCAATGAACTGGAAGTTGATCTGTCAGCACTATCCTTATCTTCAGGGCAGGTGTTTTTATTTCCTTTGGCTTATAATTCCTTACTAATTGTAGTATTTCATCTCGATGTACTCCGATGTTATTTAAAACAAATTATTTAAAATCCGGAATCGCCGAAGTCCCGACGAGTCCAGATTAAAGACTTTTGACTGTACTATTTCACTGTATCTTTGACCCAAGATCGCTGAAAATCAATGTAAAATTGAGAGAGAAATTTAACACTTGAGACAATTTACAAATTATCCTTTAATGATAACTTGGTAGCGAATTAGTGATGCAGATATAAATTAGAATAATGATCTGAAATAGTTATTTAGTCCTATGCTTCCATTCAGTTATGTTTAGTCTTTTTTATAAAAACTATAATAATAAAAAGTATTATATGAAATTTACCTTTCATCTAAATTAAAACTATAATCATTAGATAGTTATTTACTATTATACTTCCTTTCTTGCATTAGGATTGCCCCAATTATTTTTGGCAGCACAGGCATCAACAATAGTTTGGTGATTTTTTATGGTCCTCAAAACAGAATAATACCAAATATATTTGCAGATGCCC